AAATTTATTTTTTTTTTCTTGAAGAAAATTTCAATGTAATATATATAGTTACATTTTTATTGTTTCTAACATATATATATATATATATGTATATATGTAGGTATGTTTTATGAATTTTTATTTTTTTGATATAGCAGAAACATCTATCATTTTAAGTTGATCTTTCAAATCCTCAATTTGTCTTTCTTTTTGACCAATTATAGTTGATGATAATTCAAAAAACTCCTACAAATTTTTTATTTTTCATATTTGTATTTTATGTAATTTTTCTTTTTTTTTTATTAATTATTATTAAATTTATTCTTATATAATTATATAGAATATTCAATTTATAATTCATAACAAACGTAACCAAATTTGTTCTAATTTTTTATTATATTTTTTTTTTTTTTTTTTTTTTTTTTTTTTTGTTATAATATTAACTATAATAACAAACATGTGAATCATTTAATTTTTCTATTTATGAGATTTTCATTAATTACTTGTAGTTCTTCTTTTTCTTGTAATAATACTTTATTAGTATAAAATAAATATAAAAAATTTTTCATTTTTTCATCTTTTATTTTAATTGGTAATTCTTTAATTAAATTATTTGTTTGAGAAATATTATTTCTCAACTGATAATCCAACTTATCCTTCTAAAAATGAAAAATTATCATTATATTTTTTAATTTTTCTTTTTTTCTAAAATAATTTATTATATATATATTTAAAAAATTACATTTTCTTGCAATATTTTTATATCATCATCTGAAATTTTTTTTAAGCTCATTTCATTATTTTCAATTAGTTTTCTCTCTATATCTAAAATAATCATTTTAATTTTTTTTCTTTCGTTTAAAAGCTTACAATAAAAAATGAAAAAAAAAAAAAAAAATTATTTTATAGAAATTATTTAATAAAAAGAAAAAGAGGTGATATATTATTTTTTACTTTTGTCAATTCATTTTTCCATTTTTCAAAAATATCATCATTTTCTTTATCATCAGTATTTTCCTAAATAATAAGAAGAATTCAATTTTTTGTAAAATAAAATTATTAAAGATACATAAATAATTGTTTATATTTTTGAAACAAAAAATAAATATAGAATGGTATATTAATATATTATATTAATATATTATTTTTTTTTTTTTTTTTTTTTTTTTTTATTAAACCTTTAATTGAGCATATTTTTTTTTTAAATCGTCTAATTTTTTTTTTATCTGAATGTGATTAATATCATGGTTGTAAATCATAATTTTAAATCCATCAATTTGTTTTTTATATTCTTCATTTAATGATTTTAAATTTTGAGAAATTTGTAAATATTCTTGTAATTTTACTTGAAAATTTTTATTATCCATAAATAATTTTTCATTCATTAATTTTAAATTAGTCATTTCTTCTTTATATCTAGAAATGTCATCTAAAGAATATTCATTATAGTTATCATCACATAATTTGTGATTACCATTATTATTATTATTATTATCATTATGGTCACATAATTTTAATTTCTGATTTTCCTTTTTTAAATTACATATAATATTTATTAATTCTTCTTTAGAATAATTTTTATCATAATCCTTTATTTGATCATAATAATCATAATTTGTAGAATTAGTACTCATATATTCATTCATTTTTTCTTTTTCATTTAATTGTTCTTTTAAAAACTCTATTTCATTTTTTAATTTTTCAATAACATCAATATACATGGTAAGATGATGTTTAACAACAATTGAATTAGATGTTACAATATTTTTTATATTTTTTGCTCTATTTGCATATTTTAAAGTATTATGAGTATCTTCATATGACAAATGAGATGGGCTAATATTAGCTATCATAACAGTTTTGCAGTTTCCTCCTAATGAATCTTTTAACAATCTAGTTAATTTGCTATCACGAAATGGAATGAAATTCGATTTACTTGTTCCCTTACTTCTTAATACCAATGCATTTATTACATTACCTAAAGCTAATAAGGATCTATTAATATTTGCTCCCTCTAACATTCTCATTCCCTTATTATTAGTTTGGCTAGCTCTTTCACTCCCAGCTAAATCAATAACACATAACTTGCCTCTTTTTGTCTGTTGATAAATGCCTTGCCCTTTTTCTGTTTCTTCTACTATTACTTGTAATACCCCATGACTTCTTGAACTTGTTTTATTGGCATCTGTTGGTTCTTGTGTTCTATTCCTATTTCCCGTATGAATAAGCTCCATTATTTCTTCGACTGATGTTGTACACACTTCAAAAATGTTAGAAACGGTAACTCCTTTTATTGGATCTTCTCTTAAATCTAAGTATTCACTAGATGGATTCAATAAATCACATATATTTTCATTATATATTTCAATAAAAGAACATTTTACTTTATATTCATTCATCACTTCTAAACTTTTTATTTTCTCAAATAAATCTTTTAATATCATCATCATAATTCCTGGCTCATTTTTATATCCAATAATAGTATGAGTTTTTCCAGCACCTGTTGCACCATAAGCAAAAACAGTAGAATTATATCCTTTAATTACAGCATCAATTAAACATTTTACACTATTATTATATACATCTTCTTGAGAACTATTTTCATCAAATGCATAATCAAAAACATATTTTTTCTCTCTACTTCTATTTTGTCTCAATACATTATCAGAATTATCTGATGGATCTAGTAACACTACCATCTTGTTGTCTAAAATTTTTATTACATTCTTTGCACCATCATTTTTCTCAGTTACACTCATTGGTCTACACCTTATTACAACATTCATATTATAAGTTATATCCTTTTCACCTAAAGCATTTTTCTCATTCTGTTTTATTTTCCCATATGCATTTATATTATTAGAAATATTCGTAATATTTTGTGTATGAGAAATATTATTCGCTGTATTAGCATTTATTTTATTGTCTATTTTTATTGTGTTATTATCACTATTTCTTTTCATCATTTTTGGTGTTTTTACACTTTCATTAACTTTGCTTTTTATTTTTATTCCTTTAGGAGAACCTATTACTGCTTTATTGCATATTTTGTTAATACTCTTCGGAGATTTCATTTTTACATTACCCCCCAATTTACCTGATTCAATTTTTGATAACTCATTTTTTGGCATCTTTAAATATGATAAATCATTTTTTGAAAAATTTAAACTAGGAGAATCAATTTTTGTGAAATTTAAATTTGGTGTCTTGTTATTCGTTGACTGTAAAACTGGAGTACTAATTTTTGCTAAATCTAAATTAGTTTGTAAATCATTATTTATATAATTAAAATTTAGTGAATTATTTTTTGAAAAATTAAACTTAGGTGAATCATTACTCAAATAATTCAAATTAGGTGAATCAATTTTTGCATAATTCAAATTAGGTGAATCAATTTTTGCATAATTAAAATTAGGTGAATCAATTTTTGCATAATTCAAATTAGGTGAGTTATTTTTTGCATAATTAAAATTAGGTGAGTTATTTTTTGCTATTTCTAATTTTTGTGAATCAACTTCTGTATAATCTAAGCTTGGAAACTCGCTATTAACATAATTTAAATTTGAAAAATCACTATTCATATAATTTAAATTAGGAGATTTTTCTTTTATTAAAATATCTTCATTACCAGTTTTATGTATATTTTTTTCACAGTTTTCTAGCTTTAACTTATTTAAATCTATTAAATTATTTTCAATATCACAAAAACTCTTCTTCATCTTATCCCATTGGTTAGAAGAAATATTATTTACTTCACTTCTTTTTAAATTTAATGGGCTTATTTCATTTATATTTAATTTTACTTTGTTTACTTCATTATCTTTTATATTTTTTTTTTTTTCTATGTCTATTTCACATAATTCATCCATTTCATTAGAATTACATTTACTTTTTGATAGATCATATAGAAATTCTTTGCTCAGATAATTCATAGTTGTATTAAAATTTTTTAAGGAATTCCTTTCAATAGACTCATTTGAAATACCTTTTTCCTCATTTTCTTTTAATTCATTTTGTAAGGAACATTTTTTAGAATTTTCTTTATCTATGTTATTACAAAGGGAATCTTTATAAAGATTATTAAGAGATTCTAAATTTTTACTAGAAGCTAATCCAGAATACATTTTTGATAAATTTTTATGAAATGACATATTATTTGTTGAGGATATTGACTGCATAGAATTATTAAAAAGTTTTATATCTTTCATTAATTCATCAACTGAGCTAAAATTTTGCTCTTTTATTCCATTAAAAGATTCATTTAAATTTTCTAATTTGTTTTTATATAATGGAGATAACTTTTTTTCATCATAACATTTCTTTGTAAAATCCTCATTTTCAATATTATTTTTTATATTATTTATGAATATTTTCATATTTTCATTTATTTCATTATTTGTTTCTATGACTTCATTTTTATTTTCCACATTTTTATAGAAATCATTTTTTATATTCTTATTTTCTATATTATTAGAATATATTTTATTATCATTATTATCTTCATCTTCTTTATAGTAAATATTATCCTCCTTTTCATTTTGAAAATTTCCCTGACTTTCATATTCATTTATTTCATCTTTTGTATTATATTTTTTTATACTTTTATTAAGTAAATTATCATTATCATTTTCCATATATTTTGCATTTTTGTCACACATTTTTATAGAAAACTCTGAAGAGGAAAAAAATTCTCCTGTCATTTCTTCATTCTCATTTTCATTTTCATTTTCCGTTGTTCTATTTGATATTAACATTTCTTCTAAATTATAAGTAGGTAATAAATCATAATTTTTTAAATTACCAGCATCATTTATTTCATTTTGTGTCCATTTACTTTCATCGTATGATTCTGTTTTCTTATTATTTATACTTCCCATTTTTGAATTTATTATTATTTAGAAATATATACATATTTAAAAAAAAGAAATATTAAATTATAAAGATTTTTTTATAGTAATTGTTGTAAAAACCAAATAATAAAATTACTTTAATAATAGTGATCATAAATATAAAAATATTCTTAATAGTAGTAATTATAAAAATATAATTGTGTTATTATTTTCATAATAATAATTTGTTTTATTTACAAAAAAAAAAAAAAAAAATAAATAAATAAATAAATAAATAAACTTACAAATATAAAATGATTTATATAAAAATTAATAAAGTATCCTTTTAGTATATTAAAAATGATTTAATAATATATAAATGTAAATCTTATCTATTACCTATTATCTTTATCATATTTTTTTTTATATTTTTAAAGAAATGCCATCGGAATAAAATTATACATAAAAATAAATTAAGATATGCACTAAAAGGATAAACTAAAAATGTATATTATAAGGTCTAACTTCATATATATTTTCTTTTCTGTTTAGTAAGAAAATATATATATATATATATATATATATATATATATAAAAATAGCTGATAATATATCTTTTTATTGAAAAAGTATAACTAATTTATCTTTAATAAATTTATTTATAATTTTTTTATTTTGTTATTCTTTTTATAAGATATTTTGAAATTCGAAATTAACCTTTATTTATCACTCAAATATTAAAAATTTTTAAAATGTATCCCATTATATATTATGTCTAATGCATTTGATAAAACACTTATTATAAAATTATAGATTAAAGAAAAAAAAAAAAAAAAAAAATTAAAAATAATAAATTAAATTGTATATTAAAATAACAAAAATTTCTTTTTTCTTTTTTTTTTTTTTTCCAATATATATATATCTAATAAAAAAAAAAAAAAAAAAATTAAATAAAAATATTATAAAATTTAATAAAAAATCAAAATTAAAGTAAAAAATAACAAAACATAAAGAAAAAATTTAAAAATAAAATAATTTTTTATTGTCTAGTATATGTTTAAAAAATAAGCAACCAAATTAGACAGATAAAAAATTATAAATATTCATATAAAAATATTTAAAACATAAATTTCTCAATAATATAAGAATTGCAATTTAAATAAAAACAAAAATAAGAGATAAAAAATAAAAAGTGTATTTTATCAAAAAACTATAACCAATGTAACTTATTTTATACATTTTTGCTGTATTTTTTTATTATTAAGAAAAAAAAAAAAAAAAAAAAATGGTGTGCAGTTTATGTGCATAAAATTACTTTAAAAATACAAACTCCTTTTTTTTCTCTTTATATAACTTAACATATCCTCTTAAAGTTTTTTTATGAATAAAAAGAAAAAAAAAACTATGTTATATTATCTCTATTTTCTCTTTATTTCTTATAACTTTTCTCTCATATATATTTATAAAACTTTTCTTTCTTTTATGAGAAAGAAAAAGATATATTTAATAAAATCTAATTATAGACAAGAAAATTGTAAAAAATTTTATGTATGAATAAGACAGAAGTTAAATAAATATAAGTAAATACTAATTTAAAAAAAAAAAAAAAAAAAAAAAAAATTTTCTCTTGTGTGCAATGTATAAAAAAGAACAAAATAATAATCTAAAAAACAAAAAAAAAAAATCTCATCCTTTATGTACATTATACATATATTTATTTAAAACAAAAAAAAGTTTCATTCATAAATTTGTATAAGAATAAAATTACATATATAAAAAGAAGAATATTTTATAAATAATGCCTTTATTTTTTTGTATATATAATAAATTATTTCAACTTCCTTCTAGAAATATATGTACACATATATGTATATTATACATCATTTTTTTAAAATGAAAGTAGCTTATTTCTACATATTCTATATGAACACACACAAAAAAAAAATTTTTTTTAATTATTTCTAAAAATTAAACATGAATTATATATATTCTCATTTAACCTTTTAAAAAATACTTAAGTTTTCAAAAAAATTGTAACAATAAATGACTATGTAAAAGATTTTACTTTAATTTTTTAATATACATAAAAAAAAAAAAAAAAATAATTATAAATAACGTGTTAATGTATTATCAGAATTTTTACAAAATTTTATGTGAATTATAATGTAGTGACACATAGTTAATGAAAGAAATACAAAAAAATAAGTTACTATTTTCAATGTAAATTTTTAAATGTTTTAACTCAAAAAAAAAAAAAAAAATTAAATGACATATAAAATTTTCTTTACAATCAAATCTAGTACGGTAAATTCATTTTATTTTTTTTAATAAGACAAAAAATAAAAAAAAAAATTAGTTTTTATTCAAGATATTAAAAAAAAAAAAAATGTTATAAATATTAAAAATGTAGACATTTTAAAAAAATTCATGATAAGTTTTGCAAGAAAAATATTCTTAATTTATAATTTAATTATCTTAAAATTGTTACATGTAAAACTATTTTGTTTTATATTAATAATCTACATGTAGGTATTTGTTTTATTAACTTGCAAAATTTAAATAATAATATAAAATTTTACTAATAATATTAAATAAGAAAAAATTTATAATATTTATAAATTATTTATTTTTTATATCAGCTGATATACATCTAATGTTTCAAATATATATTCAATTTTTATTTTAACATTTTTGCATTTTTTTTTAAACATATTAAAATTTTTTTAGATTATTAAGGAAAATACCTTTATAGAGAAAAAAGATTACATTAGAACAAATACACAAAAAAAAAAAAAAAAAACACTAAAAAATTAAAATTATTATTTAATAAATATTAAATCTTTTTTTTTTTTTTTTTTTATTTCCTTTGTAAACTATCCTTATATATTTCTAATTCTTCAAACCTTAAATCTTTTACTTTTAATACCTTTCCAAAACTATATAAAAATATATATATATATATATATATATATATATATATATATATATATATATATATATATATATATATTCATAAAAAATAAATATTCTTATATTTTATGTGTCTATCTTGTAAAATGTTAATGAATGGAAAGTTATTTTTTTAAATTAATTTATATTTATCACAAAGTACTATGAAATAACATACAGAGTTATGCATTTAATATTATTTTAAATTATTTTAATTTTTTTTTCTTTTTTTTTTTTTGAAAACCTTTGTAAGGGACATTGTGGTTGATTAATTATACCATGAAAATACTTCCACATTTTTGGGCAGATGTTTTCCATTTTTTCTATATGATTATTTTTTATCTTATTCTTCAAATTTAAAAAAAATAAAATAATATTAATAAAAATCTATATATATATATATATATATTTAAATGTTTTTTTTCTCTTTTTTTTACTTTACACAAGTAACAAACTTTACTATTTTTATACTTTACAATATACTGATTCATAAACATTTCAAAAGTATTTAAGTTGTTTTTCAATTTTATAATTTTGTTATTTTCCATTTCTTTCTCTTAAATTATTTTCAAATATATATTATTAAACAAAAGCAAAGAAAAAAAAAAAAAAAAAAGATCTATTTTAATATAAAAGAATGTAAAAGAATACATAAAAATATGAATAGTTCATATAATTTAATTTTTCTTGTCTTTATAGAGCTAAATATAATTTTTTTTACATATTTTTTTTTTTTTATAATAAAAAATAATGAAAAACAAAATAAATAATTATACATAAAATGTTTGTATTATTTTATAACTTATCCTATTATACTATAAATTAATATAATAAATTTTTCTTGTTACATTATTATTTTTTTTATTGTTATAGTTCGTTATTTTAATATTATAATTGTTATTCTTTAAAAAAATAATAAGCAATACTATTACTTATTTTTTTTTTTCTTTTTTTTTTTTTTTTTTAAAATTAAAATATAATAAC